TGGAAACGCCCTAAATGGCCCTCCGGTCCAAACCCCTGCCCCGGGCAGGGACACCTCCCACTAGAGCAGGTTGCTCCAAGCCCCTGTGTCCAACCTGGCCTTGAGCACTGCCAGGGATGGGGCAGCCACAGCTTCTCTGGGCACCCTGTGCCAGCACCTCAGCACCCTCACAGGGAAGAGCTTCTGCCCAAGAGCTCATCTCAGTCTCCCCTCTGGCAGGTTCAAGCCATCCCCCTTGTCCTGTCCCTTCAGGCCCTTGTCCAAAGCCCCTCTCCAGGTTTCCTGGAGCCCCTTTAGGCACTGGAGCTGCCCTAAGGTGTCCCCTTCAGGAGCCTTCTCTTCTCCAGCTGCCCCAGCCCAGCTCTCTCAGCCTGGCTCCAGCATCGCCTTGTTATGTGAGATCTTTTTCTCTCTGAAACATGAAAATGCGCACACAGGTACTGCCGCTAACTCTGTGGCACAAAAGAACACCTTCTGTCCACCTCCTCTAGGTTTTGATCTTTTAATGTCACCTTGCTGCCAGCTAGGGGAAAAGGTTTTGCTTCAACAGGCTGTGGAACGGAGCTGTACTGATGTCTGAAACTCCTTCCCCTTAATGCAGTTTCCTTAGATGTTACAGTCCTTCCTGCTGGCTTGTGAGAATCACCTTGTTTTTAACACGCCACATGTAGGACATCCTATCACATGAACCTTTTACTAACAGTATTAGCCTTAGAATGTGCTTATCATACCCCAGTACCTTTGGCAAAAGTAACCATTTCACAAATCATTCCTACCTGCTCCAAGCAACTCTTCCAGGCTGCTGCAGAGCATGAAGAAACCATTCAGAACTCTCTCCAATCAGATGTGCTTGGTAGGAGGGTATAAAGCAGTATCTCTTCTCCAGCCATTGCTCTTGTTCAGCTCCCATTCCTTTATCTTGTTTTGCTTCTGTAAACTTCCAGCATCCACCTTTTTCCCTTTTCCATGAAACATGCCTTAATGGCTTGGTCAGGTACTTCTTCTAAGCACAAATTGCTTTTCAAGGTTTATCTTGAAAGTTTTCATGTGTTTTTGCATGTTCTCCTTATCTAAGGATATTGCTTTGTTTAGAGGCACATACATACTCTGTTTACTCATTGGGTTTCCATTGCATCGTTCGCTGCAGCTTCAACCCAGGTTCTCAAGAATAATTAGGAGCTTAAGTCCTACCCAAATCAATCTGACTTGGCTATCTAAACAAGCCCTTGGAGTGGGACAGTCTCCCACATCAGATCATGTCAGCCTCAGCTGATCACAGGCAAACCTTCCAAACTTCAGAGGCAAAAACCTTCTTCTCAAGGTTCAGTCCAAACCTCTCAAACTGCTCTTTGTGCTCCTGATTATGCTATTTACTGCTACCTGGAAAAGCTGGGCTCCAGCATCATTGTTACTCCCCATCAAGTAGCTACAGGCTGTGGCTGAGTGTTATAAAGAACAAGACTTCCAACGCGGTGTGTGTGGTGGGTTACCTTAAAAATCTTCTCATAGCACATGCAAGAGCAGCTCAGAAACTCTGTTCTCCCCTTCTTCTGGTAAGCACAGGACACAAGTGTGGGCTTCCCTTGGCTCATACCACAGCCAAGCTTTAACAGCTCCTTCTGAAAAGAAACTATTATTAAGGCCTTTCAAAACTGTTAGGCCTGTAGCCTCTCATCTATGAACTCTTGTAACCCCTCTTGAGCAAGGACTACATAATCTGCGACATCATTACTTTCAAAGAGATCTTTGGCCTCAAGCCACTCACCTACGACCTCTAATGATCCCTCTGGAGAAGGAGCTGCATATTGTGATACCTCATTATTTAAACAAAAAGGTCTTTGGTTAATATGTGACTTTGGTGACACCACTGCTACTTGTGCCAGCTCCTGTTTACCGTGGAGAACATCCTGTGTGAACTCCAGGCACCTTTCTGAGGAGTAGGAGAAAGTTTGTGTCTTTCATGTCAATATTGCAACATGCTCAGTGGCCATAAAAGAAGATTCCTGACTTGAATCTGGCACAGGGCTGTCAAGTACACAGTGACTCAAAGGTAACCCTGACCCAGCAAAATCCCTTCACAAACAACTAATCAAAGATCCTGCTAATTGTTCTGAATCATTTAAGATAATTTCGATGCAAGGAAAATGCATGTTGCTTTATATCCCTTGATAGCACTCTTATCAATGCTTTTTATCATTGTCTGCAACATGATCTTTGGAACTTTGACAACCTGTCATAGTAAACATTTTGTAGAAGTAAGACTGAAGACCAAGTATAAATAAGGTACAACTCTTCCTTGCTTTCATATGCTGCTTGGAAGTAAGAAGGAACAGTTCATTGCTTTTCCTGCCGATAACCCCAGGCCAGTTATGTGGAGGTACCAGATCTACACTGGGCTTGTTCTTTTTCTTTCTTTCTGGAGTTTGGCAGAAGGTGGGAAGCTTTTGGTTATGCCTCAGGATGGAAGTCACTGGCTGAGCATGCGTCTGGTTCTGGAGAAACTCTGGGAGAGGGGGCACGAAGTCGTTGCAGTGATTCCTGACGCTGCTTTGCTGCTTAAAAGCTCACAATCTTTTACCATCAAAACATACTCTGTGCCTTACACGCAGGAGTTTGTGGATAACGCCTACAATTCCATTGGTGAAAGCAGTTTTAAAAACCCTTCCCTTCTAGACAGAATCGCATTATTCAGCAATTTATCAGAACTGACCAACATGTACAGTACCTCTTGTCGGCATCTCTTATATGATGAAGAACTCATGAAGTACCTCCAGGACAGCAAATTTGATGCCATTATGATGGATCCCGTGTTGCCCTGTGGACCAATTATTGCTGAACATCTCTCTCTCCCTTCTGTGTACTTCATGCGTGGTCTTCCATGCACTTTAGACTACAAAGCCACCCAGTGTCCAAGTCCTTCTTCTTATGTGCCGAAGACTTTCGCGTACACTTCGGATCACATGACATTTGCAGAGCGTGTGAACAACTTCCTGCTTGGGATTTCGGAGCATGTGCTCTGTGACCTGTTTTACTTGAACTACAAGAACTTAGCTTCTGAGTTTCTTCGCAGAGAAGTAACAATGCTGCAACTATTTAGCCAAGCATCTGTTTACCTGATGAGATACGACTTTGTTTTTGAGTATCCGCGCCCAATAATGCCAAACATGGTCTATGTTGGAGGCATCAACTGTAAGCAGAAGCAGCCATTATCAAAGGTTTGTCATGGTTCACGCTGAGCATATATATGACATTTAGCATACATTGATGCTGAATATAGCATTTCTTAGCAATTATTTAAGATATGCTTCCTATAGTAGTATTTGTGCTTGAGCCAATGTGTGAGCGAATACCAGGATGCCGTGATTTGGGAGGAGGAATCTCAGGTTCTTGTAGATGATCACAAGACTTGCACTACAAGGAGCTGAAGGGTTTCTCTTCAGGGGAGCTTAGGTGAAGTTGACTAAGCTATGGAGCTGCCTAGGTACAGCTTAGCTTGTTCTAAGCGTATCACTATAATCACAGCTTCTCTAGGCAACCTGTGCCAGGGCCTCACCACCCTCACAGGGAAGAACTTCTTCCTAATGTCTCATCTCTCAATCTAGCCTCATGGAATGTATGCTATACCTAGATAAATACCAAAATAATTCTAGATCGTATAATCTGACATCCCTAACAGTTTGAATACTGATTAATTGCAGAAGATTTGATTGACCAAAACATGGAAATGTGGAATTAACTCTGCAGATATACCCAGACACTTGTACTGTGCTGTAGAGCCTGATAATGGGCTTGAATACCCCAAAACCAGGGATATGCAAACACGTTAGAGGGAGCTCTTTTGCCTCGGAATCTGTGTAAGAAGCAATGTAAGAGGGAACATGTAAGAGGATGATTGGGAAAAGAAGCCTTTGGGATTATAAGAACCTACCCTCCCTCCCCGGTTTAAGTCTCCCCAGTGGCTCTGTAAATAGGGCAAATATCAGTGGTTTGTTCTGTTTTTCAGACCACAGTGGTGTTGCAACAGCAGAAGTTATTGTTAAGATTGCACCATCACACGTACTACCGTAGACTCTGGGCTTTCACTTTGATAATTGCTATGACACAGAAAGAAATCTGAAGATAAACCTTATCAACCCACCCTATATCAAATCTCTGTCAGTCGTTGCTTCTTGGTTAGCCTCTGAGAGCACAAAGTATTCCAAAGGCCAGGCTTTTTGTTCCGAATTTTGTGTCCAATCAGCTGCACAGACTCAAGGCAGGGAGTTGATCATTAACTGGGTGTTAGTAAAACAGTGATTGCTGGGTCAGGTATTACCTCCCATGCATGACTTTTGCTCAGCCTTTCAGTGCCACACGCTCCCTCTTGCGTTTGAATCCTCTCCTGTTAACTCAAGCGTTCAGTGCCCAGTTACTTAAAGACTTCCCTGAGATGATAAACCCAATCTTTACTCACAGTGAAAAATTACCCTCATTTCTGCCCACAGACATCCAGCCTGTTAAAAATTAACCCCCTCAGTTAAGATTAAAGTGCAAAGTACCCTCAATTCATTCCTCGTCCCCTGCAATAGTTCGGCAGCTCTTTAAAACTTTGCCGACAGCACAAGGAAAATGGCTTCTTCAAACGTGGGATTTCATTCTCTTGCCTCCTGCCTTGTGCTTTTCCTGCTCCTGTGGACCTTTGCTGAAGGTGGAAAGCTGTTGGTGATACCTATCGATGGCAGCCACTGGCTCAGCATGCGGCTGGTTGTGGAGCGGCTCCAACACAGGGGACATGAGATCGTGGTGCTTGCACCAGAGATAAACCTGCGGATAGGTTTGTCGGGGCATTATACCATGAAAACATACTCTGTGTCTTACACCAAGGAGTATGTGGAGGCAGAGTTTAAAAAGCTGGGCCATAGGAGTTTCACACCTCAATCCTTCTCAGAAAAATTCTCCAATTTGGCAAATATCTCATCCATGTTCTTGGATTCCTGCAAGCGTCTCCTGTCTAACAGAGAGCTCATCAAATCCCTTGGAGAAAGCAAATTTGATGCTGTCTTTATGGATCCTTTTTTTCCCTGTGGACAAATAGTAGCTGAACATCTTGCCCTCCCTTCTGTGTACCTCGTGCGGGGACTGCCATGCAGCCTAGACTTCCACGCTACCCTCTGCCCGTATCCTCCTTCCTACATTCCGAGGTTCTTCACTCGCTACACGGACTGCATGGGGTTCCTCCAGCGTGTGGGCAACCTCCTTGCTAGCCTGAGCAGTTCCCTGCCTTGCAGCTTCCTTTATTCACCATACAACAGTGTGATCAAAGAATTCCTCCGACGAGAGGCAACAGTGCTTGAGCTCTTAAGCCACGCGTCTATTTGGCTCATGAAATATGACTTTGTGTTTGAGTACCCCAGACCCTTAATGCCTAACATGATCTTGATCGGAGGCATAAGCTGCACTCAGGAAAAAGCCTTATCCCAGGTTAGTGCCCTTTTTCCCCTGGAGTTTACCTCTAACTGCACTGCTTGTTCTCACCATGAGATGGCGCTCCCGGCAGGAGGAACGAGGTGGAAGGAGCTAGGAAAGCAAAACACGGCAGCTCTGCATCCCTTGTGCAATAACCTCCTCTGTAACTACCTGAAAGAAAGTTGTAGTGAAGTGGGGTCGGTCTCTTCTCCCAAGTGAGAAGCGACAGGACAAGAGGAAACGGCCTAAAGCTGCGCCAGGGGAGCTTTAGATGGAGATGAGGAACAATTCCTTCCCCAGAGGAAGCTGCCTATTTCCAGCGATTTTGGTTCGTGTACCAGTTTACAAGACTTGGTGCTAGCTGGGGCAATGCAGCAAGCCCAGTCCTGGGGGATTTCTGCAGGAATTCCAGACAGCAAATGGAATCCCTGGCACCCAGCTAGAGATCCGCTTCTTTTGTGTCAAATACTCTATCCCAGATCTGGACTGCAACCGTATTTTGCTTGAACTATGCCTAACATCCTAAATATGGCATATTTGCCACTTTCCCTGAAGAGATCCTCCTCATTCTTAGTGCTTTCTCTTATTTCCTCACATATTTCAGAGATGTGGTGCGTGGCACCCACCAAGAAGAGCAGATGCTAGTTAAAAAGACTACTAAACTAAGGTGATTTTAGGTGATTTTCTATTCCCAAAGCAGAGCTGCAAAACAATCCCTAAAATTAGTGGCACTTCTGAGCAGGAAGTCAGACCTTGGCGCACAAAAGCACTCAAAGAACAGAATAACACTGATGTGGCTGGTCCCACAGAATATAAACAGGGCTAAATAGGCCTTGGAATAGCTCTATGTGTTCCACTGCACCCGGAACTGCAGGAAGCAAGTCACCCACTGCCCAAAGGATTCGGTATGAAAAGCGCATTTGTAACGTGGGGAGGATTTTGCAGTTCCCAGATGTCTGGGAGTTTATACAGAACCAAGGCCAAGAGTTCCCAACCAGGCACCTAATGGAGATGGAGAGCACGTCTTCAGAGAAATCTAGTAAGAGAGAACTAAGCCCTGAAATGAGAGTTACATTTCCTCTTGTTTGCCCCCGGGTCTGCTCTTCAGGATGCAGCTACCACCAAACCTTCGATGGCTCCTTCTGTTTGGGATCCAGTCTCAAATGAAGAGCCAGGGCACTCATGAACTAAGAGAGTCACTCTCAGTTATCCCCTTAGACCCTAAAGGTGAAACTTCAACAGGCTTACAGGAACATTTGGTTCATTTTAGTCCACTCATTTAATTCTGAGACCTGCAACAACTCCCTCTGGTTTTGTTTCCTTCCTGGCTTTACCAAATAGTCTCAGTGGCAAAGGATGCTCTAGCCTTTGGCTGGTTTTATGCTTCACCAGAATCCTTCTGTTCTTGGATTCAAGTGACAAATCTAGTCCTTCTATTAGTTAAACCGACCAACCAAAACAGATTAAAAACCTGGCAGTGGTTCAACATTACCATACTCAAAGCAGACCCAGTAAATCCAGATACTAGAAATTACAGCTATCTGCTATCAGAACACCTTTAAAACCAAACTTCATTCTCTCTTGCAGTTGCATGGTCTGAAAAGAAGAGTATCAACTCTAAATCCAGAGCATGTGATTGCAATAAATGGGAAAATAAACCACAGTGTGGTCACCTGGGGATTGGTTGCCAGGAAAAGCCTGATGATGACTTCATCTCCTTAATTGCTCCAGCATCTTTTTTGCTGCACAGACACTGATGTCCTGGAGCAGGCAGACTTTGCTACAGGACTGGTTTAAAGTCAATCTTTTCTCCTGTCCCTCCTGAATCTTGGTTCAGGTTTCAATTCTGCCAACACTCAGGCACCTCCTTAACTTTGTTCAGCCACATCTGCCCATTCTTTTTTTCCCTGGGAATCTCAGAATCCCAGCCTGGTTTGGGTTGGAAGGGACCTGAAAGCTCCTCTGGTCCCAACCCCCTGCCACGGGCAGGGACACCTTCCACTAGAGCAGGTTGCTCCAAGCCCCTGTGTCCAACCTGGCCTTGAACACTGCCAGGGATGGGGCAGCCACAGCTTCTCTGGGCACCCTGTGCCAGCGCCTCAGCACCCTCACAGGGAAGAGCTTCTGCCTAAGATCTAACCTGAACTTCCTCTGTTTCAGTTTGAATCCATCACCCCTTGTCCTGTCACTGCAGTCCCTTATGAAGAGTCCCTCTCTGCATTGTTGTAGCTCCCTTCAGATACTGGAAGCTGCTCTGACATCTCCATGCAGCCTCTCCAGGCTGAACAGAATATGGATATATAGAGAGAGATAGGTAGAGAATATAGATAACTAATTTTCCTGCTCAACATTTTGTTGTGTTGACTCCTTATTTTCTTACCTTTCCTGACAGTTTTGTGGGAACGTGACAGAACTTATGGCATATGACATGAAAAGGACTTTGACTAAGGATGTGCTTTGTTTTGGCAGGAATTTGAAGCTATTGTGAATGCCTCTGGAGAACATGGCATTGTTGTCTTCTCCCTGGGCTCCATGGTCTCCGAGATTCCTATAAAGAGAGCCAAAGAAATTGCAGATGCCTTGGGAACAGTCCCTCAAACGGTATGGTTTCCCTCTTCCCCTTCCAGCACAGCAATCCAACATGGTTTTCAAACACAGTACGTGATTACCTTCAGCTTTCAGTGGGCTTGGTCCTCCCTTCTTTCTCCTGCTCCCTGATGCCAGAAGTAACTATCACCCAGCTACTCTGCACAACAAAATGGGGTTTATCCACCGTGGATGTTTTTCAGCCGTGCTTTTCAAACCCACTGAGGAGCAGCAAGAGGCCACTTGCTGAGAACTGACATTTTGGTTACTTCTCTTGCAAGGTTTTGTGGCGATACACAGGAGAGGTGCCCCCCAACCTGCCCAAGAATGTAAAGCTCGTCAAATGGCTGCCCCAGAACGATCTTCTAGGTAGGTATGAGACACCTGGAGTGATACCAGCATGTTGCTTTGAATCCCATACTGCTGCTGTACGGCACCATTGGCATCATCTGTGCTGACTCCCTGTATCACTGTGGGTCACAGGGCTTCCTTAACAGCTGTTGCTGTCTGAAACAGAGCTCATCTCTTAGAAATTTATCTGATGGCACCTGCAAAATTGTTGACTTATGGAAGAACTCTGTTTGGAAAGTTGTCCCAACACTTGACTGCCCTTTCTGTCAAAAATGGGGGTTTTTATTTCTGACTAGCCTGCAGTCATGAGTAACGATGCATAGGACAACCCAAAGGTCTTGACTGGCACTTACCAGTGCCATTTTTTGTGGCCCTAGTTTTAACCTGGGGATGCATTACTGTGACTTCCCAAATCAAAGAGCTAAGCAAGTTTTTCTTTCCTCCACAGCTCACCCTAAGACTCGTGCCTTTATTACCCACGGAGGCTCCCATGGCATTTACGAGGGCATATGCAATGCAGTGCCAATGGTGCTAATGCCTTTATTTGGAGACCAGATGGACAACGCCAAGCGAATAGAGTCACGGGGAGCAGGACTGACATTGAACATACTTGAAATGACTACAAAGGACATATCCACTGCCCTGCAAGCAGTTATCAATGACAAAAAGTCAGTAGTAGAAACACAGCCTTTCTCCTTCTACCCCTATGTAACACCAGCATGCTAGCTTCCAGCTTAACAGGACGTTAATCTGTTCTTATATGCCTTCTTATATCAAAGTTACATCACTGAGAAGCTGATGCTGGCCCTGGGTTAACCTCATCCTGTCCCTTTAACAGCACTATCCTTCTCACTGCCCAGGAATATAGGCATTAGATGACAGGAACCAGCTGATACGAGAGGATTAAGGTATCAGAGAAGATGGGCTATATATGCAATGGAAGAAATCAAGTTGACAGAAGATGAGCACAAAGACAAAATGACCAGGCAGTGACACAGAGGGCTTTGATCCAACATGGCAGAAAAGGCAATTGGCAAAGGGAGATGTGGCAAACTGGTTTTGTTCCCCAAATTGGTGGTGTCATGAGTCAGTGGGGAGCCTGGAAAGGTTGAAGGCTCAGCTGCCTGGCTGATGTTCTTTGCATGAGGCTCTCCCAGAGATGCTTCCTGCGCAGCAGCAGGAGGAAGGAGGTAACAGGCAGTGCCTCTGTATAGTTCAGAGGCTGTGCTACATCAGGAAGCACTGTCTTCCAGCTGGCAGGGTTTATTAAACAGACCTCATTTCTTTTACAGACTGGCTTTCTCAGTCATATCCCCTCTCAGTACTCATATGAGCACAGTGAGCTGCTGCCTGGCTTGGCAAAGCTGGACAATTCCAGCATAGAGCTGGAGGAGCATGCAAGAGTATGCTAAGGCAGTACAGGGAACTGCTCTAGACACCACAGTATTACAGTCAGCATGCCCAAGGTGTTTTGAGGCATCATGGTGAAGGGCAGCTTCAAGACCCTCCTGCCACAGGTGGGGAGGTTGGAACTGGGTGATCTTAAGGTCCTTTCCAGCTGTAACCATTCTATGATTCTATGACATATCCTCCTCTTCCCTGCTTCTCTGAGGGCTTCTCAGTACTTGGCATCCTCTTCCCCATCATGTTTCCAAGAAATAGCACCTTATTGCCATTGCTTCCCAACCAGTATTCTTAAAACAATGACAATAACAGTAATAATAATAATAATAATAACTATAACAATACATCTTGATCATGAAAAACTGGATGGCTTTTCTATACCCAGTCACATTTCAACCAAATACCTTCACCCCAGAGATTTTGATGGCAGCTCAAACAAAGCTTTTTCTTTTTCCTCTTTCCTAAAACCTTTCCCTCTGTTTTAGCCTTTGGAAACAGCACTTTTCTGGGGCCATCTCCCTCTTATGGGGAGGGTGGGGTGGTGGGGAAACACCACTACACAAGTTCCCAGTGGGCTATGAGCCAAATGACACCGCATCCCTTTCCTCTGGGGACACGGTCTCGGAAGCTCAAGTCATTGAAACCACTGAACATCTTGTCTTGACAGGTACAAAGAGAACATCCAGCATCTCTCAGACCTTCACCTCGACAGGCCCATCCACCCCATGGACCTGGCTGTGCACTGGGTAGAGTTTGTAATGAGACACAAAGGAGCCCCACACCTCCGACCTGCTGCTCATGACCTGAACTGGATCCAGTACCACTCCCTGGATGTCATCGCCTTCCTCCTCGTCGTGGTCCTCCTCTCCCTCTTCATTTCTCTGAAGTGCTGCCAGTTCTGCTGCCGCAGGTGCTGCTGTAAGAAGGGAAGAACAAGAAAGCCAACCAAATCCAAGTCCCACTAGCAGGTGAAACCAATGGTAGGAGATAAGGCTCTGCTCCAAACCAGATGATCAGAGAGCATCCCAAATTTCACTGATTGCTGGCTTTCAGTCAAGAAATAATAGTTCCTTTAAATTAGCACCCTGGGAAGGGTTGTTTCACTATAACAACCCTTTTGAGATAATTGATATAATTGTTGCCTTTAATTAAGAATTGGTGGTTAAAATTACTGTGATAAGGAGTGCTTCAGTCACTTGGGAAGATATAAGTATGAAGTCCAAGGCTCCTGGCTTCCACATCTTGGTGTACAGAGGACTCACGTTGACTTCTTTTTTTTACCTCTATATGCAACGGAGATACATACAGGGATTTCATAAGACTTTGCTACAAGGGCTTTAGAAGAACCATTTGCTCTAGTTTAAGGCTGTCAGGTTTATCAAGCACTTTGAAACCTTTGTGAAGCTGTTGTTTGTAGAAGAGGCAAATGTTATTGACTGACAATACGTGTCACATACACCAGCTAGATGCACATCTTACATGGGTTTTGTGTGTGCTTACAACCCCCTGAACAAAACCAAGGTTTTGGCAGGGAAGTCATTGTAAAGCCACTGGTGCTTCACCCAAGTTCCCCATCAGGCAGAGTGCTGTATCTAGAGCATATCTGTTATGTGATCAGAGCGTTGTAAGCATCGTTTATAAAACCCACTTGATGTACTTACTGTAAGTGTTGTTCAGGTAAAGACCCAAAACCCAGCCTTACAAATAAATCCCCAGTTCTAACAATAATGGCTCTTGTGTTTTCTAACTTGAGAGATAGGGGGCTAGAGAAGGGAAAGCTTGTTCAGTCATGGGGAGAGAGCTGGAGAAGCCTCACGGTGTGGAAGCTACCTTGATGCCCAAAAGCCAGTTCTCAGTATCACTGCTTGGTGACTTGGTCCTTGCTGAGAGGTTACATCTTGAGGCTCTCACAGTTCCCACTGCTAAAAAGTCAGAAAAGACCTTAACGTTAATAGTGAGGGCTCAAAACAGGCTGGGACATCCTAGTATGTCATGGCACAGGCATTCTGCTATGTACCTGCTGCTGTTCTTTCCTACTGCTGTTTGAAACAGCAGGTACTTCAGTGGGAGCTGTGAAGCTTAAGAAGACAGCCTCTCTTCTCCTCAGCCTGTCCCTATCGTAGTGCCTGATTCCTGGGGGCATCCGTGCCAGTGCAGCCTGTCCAGGACCTTTTGCTTTTCTTCTTCTGCCTTTGCCTCCCCTCCTCTTGCCCCATGTAAACAGAAGGAAACTCCTCTTTGGGTCACAGAGAGAGCCTCCACTGTGCCTGAGAGCTGACCTGCTTTTAAGATGCAGCTATTGCAGCTCCACACAGTTCCTGCAGTGACATCTCTGGCTGTCCCCATGGTCTATCCAGTGACTTTCTCTGCATGGACAAGAGAAACCCCCCTTGATTTCACATCAGATGAACGGAGTTAAAAAGAATTAATCTTAATGGGCTTTGTTGGGGTTTAACTCAAAAACCTCTTGTGTAGGAGCTAAAGGAAAGGGATGAAGACTCAAAATGCTCATCCCATGTCTTCTGGAAAGAACTTGAACACAACTAAAGCAAAACAGCAGCACAAACCAGGTGTCCTCTTCCTTTTGCTCTCCTTAGCCTCACCTCTTTTGTCCTGCTCTTTCTTTTCCCTTGGGAAAATGAGATGGAGAGAAAGGGCTTTAGGGGATGTGCAGGGCCAGGACTGCACAACAGTCCCGTTGTGTCCAGTTTCAGCTGTGCCCAGCAGAGGACAGTCCAATATCACTAATGGTATCACTGACAGGCAGGAGCAAGGAGAACATCCTTCCCCACCAAGGCAGAGCCAGTGGGCTGGGGGAAGTTGTAGCGAGTTGTTTACCCATCCATACTCGGTGAATATGGCCCCTGCTGCACGGGGATGGATTTCAGAGTGAGTGAGGAGCCAGAGGGTGCGGGACAAGCAGCTCTGGTGCAGAGAAGAGAACCAGAGGGGCTGCAGCATCACTGCAACGTGACCCTCCCAAACCTTCGCAAGGTAAGAGTTCATCTGGGGATGCTGTCCTATCTTACTGCCCCTCGAGTACCATACAGAATCCCAAACTGGTTTGGGTTGGAAAGGACCTTAAAGCTCCTCCAGCTCCAACCCCTGCCCCGGGCAGGGACACCTTCCACTAGAGCAGGTTGCTCCAAGCCCCTGTGTCCAACCTGGCCTTGAACACTGCCAGGGATGGGGCTTTTTTCTCCCGAGGTTTTCCGTGCAGCTACTCAGAAGAGAGGATACCCTGGGACCAGCTCTGACAGAACCCAAATGAATCCATTTCTCTTTTCACCAGTCTATTCAGCCTTTGTGACTATGTCTCCAGAACATAACAACAAACGATTTTGTACCTAATGCTTCAATTTCCTAGTTTCAGGCATTCAATTTGATCCATTTTAGGATCACTTCTAATGTTTAGGATCATTTCTAAGGGCTTCAGAAAGTCATTCTTGTTTCCTGGCACCCTCTGCTGGTTGAACTCAGGAACTGACTGACTGCCACTCAGAAATACACAGAGCCACGCTGCCCCTTCAGCACAGCAGAGAGCCCCAGGCCCCTGCTTCTCTTACTGGGAGAAGGACAACTCGTTGGCCACAACACATTTGTAAGTAACAGAGCTGAGACTGGGTCACTTCCCAAAAGGGGAAACTGAGGCAGGGAATGACCACTGCTCCACCTCACTCCAGGGTCCAGGCACCACAGCCTGAGCTTTGTCAGCAAACACTTAAATCTCTGCTTTTAAACACCTGCCAACACACAGGAGGCAAAATCCCTTCTCTGCCCTTGCAGAAAGAAGACACAAAAGGATGGTCAAATGGTTGATGCTGCGAGGGCTGGAGCAGCTCTGCTCTGGAGCCAGGCTGAGAGAGCTGGGCTGGGGCAGCTGGAGAAGAGAAGGCTCCTCAAGGGTACACCTTAGAGCAGTTCCAGTGCCTAAAGGGGCTTCAGGAAACCTGGAGAGGGGCTTTGGACAAGGGCCTGGAGGCACAGGACAAGGGGAATGGCTTGAACCTGCCAGAGGGGAGATTGAGATGAGCTCTGAGGCAGAAGTTCTTCCCTGTGAGGGAGCAAACTCGCTCCTGTGAGGGTGGTGAGACTGGCACAGGTTGCCAAGAGAAGCTGGGGCTGCCCCATCCCTGGCAGTGTTCAAGGCCAGGGGCAACACTGAGCTGCTCCCACTGTCATGGGAGCTCCAGGCAGCTCCCAGGCTCCTCCACCTCCCAGCTTGTGGGTCCAAGACAACCCTTGGCCTGCAAGGACACAGCACTCAGAGGGGTACTCACCTCCTTCCAAGCCACGCAGAGATAAGTAAGTGCTGCTATTCAAGGGTAGAGCAAGAACCAGCAGTGACCTCCCAACGAGCACCCATCCTCCTCCCCTGTGCAGGGTGCTCAGGGCAGCCACCTGCACATGGGCCCCAGTGCTGCCCTGCCCTGCTTGCTCCCATGTTGATGCTCACGCTGCAATGACTTCACTTCACCTGAGAAGTAAATACTCGCTGCTGCCAGCAGCCAGCCACGATCCAGTTGTCACAGGGGGGGTCATTGGAGTTCCCAAACCCCCTTTCAGCCTTGTTTCCTCACTGGGGGAAAGCACCGAATGCTCAAGGTGAGCAAATGTGGAGTAGAGGCAAGAGGATGCGACCTGCCAAGAGCAGTACCAGCCCCATTGAACAACAAAACAAAACAAGAGAAAACAAGAAGAAAACATCCCAAACCCAAACCCCACCACCCCAAATCCATGTGCATCCACAAAGCTGCTTCAGGATTGCAGGCACCATGTCTGGGAGCAGTGCACGGGCTGCGCCACCACACGCCATGGCTTCTGCACCATTCTCTGGAGCTATATCCCCACGCGGGATCCCAGCGGGGTTTGGCACTAGAGATGTCCCATCCCATGACATGCCCTCTTGGGCCAGCTCCAGGCAAGAGGTCCTGTGGTGGGTGTCAGAGCTCTGCCTACAAGCTGCTGTTGCACGTTGCTTTGACAGGTACTAGCAAGTGCTCCCGGCATCAATTCCCTTCCCATTAAGGACGGGTGAAAGGTTTCATACACCAGATCTAATTGCTCGGATTGATAAAAGCAAGTCATCAGCACAGGCTGTTCAATCACCAGCAAATCCTAAATCCCCCCTCAGCCACATACTGCCCGGCTTATCCTCTGGCATGACCCGGCTTCAAAAGCCAGCCTGAATAAACGGAGCAGATTTCCTCCCTGGCATGGTACCAGCTTTATGCTGGGGGTGACATGGCCCCCTTGGCTAAGGCAGAGCCAAGCTGCATCTGTTACCAAGCATCCCTCCCAGCGAGGGACCAGGCTTTGCAAAGCATCTGCTGGAAGCTTTAATTACCATTCAGTGGGGGGTAATCAGAGCAGGGCAGGAACCTGGGGCTTGGTATCTTCTGGAGGCTGCTCAGGTAGAAAGTGGGGGTGTCCCTTCGAGTTCTGGCCGCAGATGGTTGGTCTGAACTCCTTAGAGTGGGTGCAAAATGATTTCAGTAGAGAACAGAGCCAGTGATGGGCAGGGGGAAGAAGGGGAAATCACAGCCAAGCATCAAGGGAGTCTGGTAAGCAGGAACAAAACCAGCACATGCTGATCCCCAGCCTGAGGCTCCTTCCTTTCCATGTAGGGTCCTTCCACCCCAAACCAAGCCATCAGTCACCCCCTGACCGCTCAGTGAGTGAAACTTGCCTATCTTTTGGCCAGATTTCTCTGCACACAGCCTTTGGGAAAAGCATGCCTTTATATCCTGCTTTCCCACCCCCATTATAATAAAGAAGCCTTAAATGTGTCATCTGTAGCTTGGAAGTCCCTGGATTTCACCAGTGGATTAAGCCTGTGAAGAGGTGAGCCCCAGGGGATGCTTTGGGTAAAGGCTGTTGTCAGAACAAAGGGCTTCCAACAGGAGGATTGAGAGGGTCATGCTGGGAACGCGTGATGGGATGAACACCACCTCCATCCATTTACAGTCATTCAAGCCCATGTTTTCTGAGCGACCAGGCTTGAAGAAGTTGGCTTTGGGTTATTAAGGTGCAAAAG